CATCCTTAGGCAGATATTGAACCAATCAAAAAAGCAGGTCAGTGGATTCCATTCTCAGTATGATACATCGCGGGCAACGCTACTGCAACAACCGCAGCAAAAGCAAATGCACATGTGCAAGGAGTCTGTTCCTGTTTCGACAACTTCTGCGATAGATCTTCAATGTGCCGAGTACCGCCGCAACTTGTATGATTCCAAGCTGCTGGGTCGAATTCGGTTCTTCGAGCCCGGGCGAATGGAGACCTGAATCAAGGCTTGGATGAAGATCAGGCAGTGGGTACGATACTACGTTATATTCTCGTTGGATTACCTTCCAAGTCTTGGGAGCAGACCTCTACAGTTGAAGAACATTCAGCAAGTGAACAATTTATTAGGGTGATCATCTTTGTGTCTACCGAAAGGCATTGATATCCTCGACCTGTCACTGATCATAGCTAATGGTCTCAAGTTGTGAGGCGAACGATATGATAGATATGAGAACGGTACACAGAAATCGCGCTACGTCGTCAGCTGGGACCGAGTTTACAGGTACATACTTGAGTAAGCAACCGGGACCAGCCGCCCCCACGGCAATGCCAGTGTGGGGTCTCACTCCAGTTTCTTACATAGTACTAATAATATGTAGAAACTCCGCACAGTAAGTGAACCCGTGAATGGGTTTTGTACACTAGGACGACTAGCTTTACATAGTACTGTTCGCGGCAACTTCTCAGCAGAGACTGGATGTTATCATTCGCATCACGCAATTGTCACAAAAGCAAATCCAGGCAAGCAGGTTGGAAAAGAAAAGCCTTCTGCGCTTTCACTTTATGATACATCAGTAAGTCACAAATCTCGCTTGGCCTATTGCAGGTCTCGCCCTAGGTTGCAGGAAAAAAAAACCCAAAAAGGAAAAGACTAAACCCTGCACAGAATACGACTTGACCCCTGAATGCCGTTCGGGAGCTTACGCGGAACTGGGATTAGGGGATAGAGTAGGTGACCAGGATATTCCAGACGCTTCGCGAAACACCCGAACTGAAGGAAGTATGTCATTTTCACCATCAACTTATGTCTTTACGAGCCATAACGCGAGATTACATGATACTGAGAAACCGGCAGTTGATTTGTCTCTTACACAGCGACACTTCATTCACACCCGTCAATCATCTGGTGTTAATGATGCTGCCGGATGGGCGTAGCACTGGATGTTGACACTGAAACGCTATATCGCCATAACGCCATAACGCCTCATTGGGGGACCAAATGCCGAAGCTGCTGGCGCCAATTATAATCCAAATCAACAGATTCGTCATTTTAGTCCCTGATCTCGACTCACAGAGTCCAAGTATAGCAACCACCCTCTAGGACGCATACGCTGTCTCAAGTTCCAACCAACGGATTATATATGAGAACTGACAATCACCGCTATTCTCGTTGTAGCGCAGGGAGCTAATGGTGAAATCTTCGACGCTCTTTCACGATTCAACGCCGAATCCTCCATCTGCAACTTGCTACCTACACCATGGTGTACATGTTCCCGATCGAGCGGCCCAGCCAGCGATTGCTTATTGCTTTCGCAGTGATCTTCTCTCTAGTGCCTGCCACGGCCGTTGGCCTGAGAATTTTAGCTCGCCGATTATCCAACCGGAAGCTCGACTCCGGCGACTACCTCATAATAGCAGCATGTGTAAGTTGGCCTCCCGACGTTCACTTGCCCTGTTGGTGGGAATTGGGTATGACTAACAGCGCCGTATAGGTTGTTGCGGTAGCTTATCAAGCCGTGGTTTTGACGGGTACGTTATACTCGTCACTGACACGCGACATGACTGCAGAAAAACGAATCGAGGACTAGCGCTAACGGAATGTCTCACAGCTGTCGTCGCCGGAGGCTTGGGATGGCACACCACTGAACTACTGGCAATGGGCGGAAATGACTCCTTTGTGCTATTGATGAAGGCACGTAGCCCTTATTAGCCCATGGTCACTATATACTAACTTTGTCGAGTTTCGTAGCTGGTGCTAGTTGTTCAGGTACTCTGGTCAATCAGTCTTGGCCTCACCAAAGGCTCTATACTGCTCGTTTACGCGAAAGTCTTCTCGCTCCCGAGATTCATCGTAGCCTCCAAGCTTACAGCATTACTTATTCTTCTGTGGTAAGTCATAACTAGAGCGAGCCGCCGATCTACTAGACTCAGATTTGAGACGGCCTGTGTTGTTCTAGGTTGTCATGCAGAGCTCGACTAACTGGTAGTGATAGGGCACTGGTACTTATCGTGGGGCCATTCGTGATCTGTCAACCACTCGAATACAACTGGAACCCGTACGTGCCTGGTGGTCACTGTGGTAACACCAAGTTACTCTGGTATATCACAGGGATTTTCAACATCATTACAGATTTGATTGTGCTGCTTCTTCCAATGCCGTACCTATATGCGTTGGAACTCGCACCATACAAGAAAGCAGCTCTCATGTGCACCTTTGGAATTGGTTTCCTGTAAGTACTTCTGATTCATATGTGACAGGCCTATTCCGCCACCGTGCCGTTCAGCTCAGTAACGAGTCTCACCACTTACGATCCGCCTTTCACAGAGTCTGCATAATCAGCGCCGTACGGCTCGCAACCCTCGTCAACGTCGACATAGCCGACTTTGCCTTCAGCGGACCCATCGCAGTGATGTTTAGCGCCTTAGAGCCATGTCTCCTGATCACGGCAGCTTCCGTGCCCTTTTTGCGCCCACTCCTTGGACGGCAGTATTCCTCAACGGGTACGGCGAGATTCGGATCGGCATCGGTTTCCCACAAGTCACATCAAAGGGCACAGAAAGAGAGCTCCGGCTTCAACAAGCTGACTGATGACGAATCGACCCGACGATTACGACCAGAGCGGATACAGTACGACGCTCAGGTCGGGGTGAAGGACGGAACGGACCATAGCATTGGTGACTCGGCCACAGATCAAGATGTCGAGCTAGGAGTGATTTCTGTCAAGAAAGACTGGAAGGTCGAAGAAGGACCTGCGAGTGGGGGATTCAGAGGTGCACGCTAGTTTGCATGCGTATACGCAGGTTTCCGCTGCGCACTGGAGCCGAACTGTCAGCTAGTCTGAATCGTCCGAGACTCTGTTTGCGAACTCATTGTTGACATTATATTTGACTAGCACTGCATCATATCAACCAGATGGTTCAAACCTGCGAAGGTATGAAGATCAATCTGGATCGCATTAGCCCATTAGATGAGGAAATCAAGGAACTCGGAACATGGCCATACTCAGGGGCCTGGCTGGCATCTGGACAGGCGTCTTATAGAAAGGGCATTGCCTACTTAGAGATACATTGTGTATACTACATAGCTTATATCGGATAGCATCACTCAGCGCAGCCACTCAATAAGTCGTTAGCACCTATGTCGAGCTAGGTTACACCAGTGCTTTTACCCGGTACATTGAACGCACAACGGCTGAAGTCCACAAGACATTCAATCATACTCATCGTCCCGGTGCTCTGGCCAATCGAAACCACTGCACTGGGTAAATATGGGTAAAAATGGGTAAAATACCGACAAGATATCTTAGAGCTCTATCGATGGGCTACGGAGGGGAAACGCATCGGGGCATCCGGAACGAAGGGTATATATTGGCAGTCATGGTTGGGCAGACTAGGTAGGTCCATTGAGGCTTGGACATTGGGACCTCATTGAACAGAATTCCCTGCTGTTCAAAAGACATTGCCAAGAGCGGATCAAGATCCTGGGGCAATCAACAAAGAGCGCTCACGATGCGTCCCGTACTGCTCACCTCTCTCCTCCTCGCGGCCCCGAGCTCATCAAATCCCTTCGAACCGCATCACCCCATCAGGGACGTAATCTCACCACCCACCTTACCCACCATATCTACCATATCCTTCTCGGGCAGCGGGTGTCCCGCCGACGGCGATTCGATTACCTTTGTGAGTCGAGATTGGAACAACATCATCTTCCACCTTGACAACTTCACAACCTCCACGCCGGGAGATGCAACCAAGACTACCAATTGTCAGGCACACATCCAGGGTATAGACACTACGCCCGGCTGGCAGTTCGCGCTGAAGGATGTATGGGTCAGGGGCTATTTGGAATTGGAGGCCGGCTCGACAATGACGGAGTACGTCACGACTTATTTCAGCGAGGATGCGTTAGACACTGTGAGTTAACACCTGCTGGGGACTATTCAATCCCTCGATCATCATTGACACCAGCTAATCCCGCGATGACAGGCTACGATGCAAGTATCAAGAAGTGCCGACGACCATGAGGAGTTGCGGATAAACCAGAGTGTTATACTTCATACCGAAACACCAAAAAGTAGCTTTATGTGGTCGCCGTGTACAAATACCAGGGGGAGCACCGGCATCTTGAACATCAACTTTAGAGTCGCGCTGACGACGAGTGCCAGGAACGCGCATGGGTACTTCGGTGCTGCCGTCAATACGACGGTCACCGAGAAATGGGGATGGGTCTGGCGACGGTGTTGAGCGCTCCGAAATTGTCCACTGCGAGATCGCTCTACGGGGCGAAGAAATGGCCATGGAACTCGGCCACTCATTTCGGAAATGCTCAAAAGTTAAGTTCAATACGAGGAGAAGGGAGTTTGCATTGCCATCGTCATACTCCCTTATCGATATGCAATCTGACCGGCATACAACCTAATAAAACTTCTATTATGCATACCACATGACTAGCAAAATATTATGTATACCATGATGGCTAGCAAACTGGCAAAAAGATAGTAAGACTTTTCCGGAGCGGGGAATTGAACCCCACCTTCCGATACCTCTTTAGACATCTTCACTTACCTACCTAGTTACTGTGGCTAGCAGTAAGTAGTCTATATCACAGCCAACCACAATTACCCCGAAATGTACCCACCATATCCGACCCAAGCTTCGTACGAAACGCAATAGGTTGAGTTACGAATCAACTTTTCAAGTCCGATCCGGTATAGTGGTAAGTTGCAACCCATAAAAATTCAGATCTTATGGCATTCTGATTGATAATAGTAATGGTTAACATACGACGCTCTCATTCCTTGATCCGTCGAGCTCGGGGTTCGATTCCCCGTACCGGAGTGTATTATTTATAGATTTTAATATCTAAGTTATCAACTTAACTCACAAAATTTTTATAATTTTATATTAATATTTTTAAATAAAGTAACTTAAAACTACACCGGATAGCTACGGATATCTTTAAAAATCTTATATCTAAAATAATTAAGAACGAGCAACGTTTACATTCTTGTGTCTCGAAACTATATCGACTCAAAAGGAACAAAATTTGTTACCAAAACGATCCTGAAACCAAAAATAGGGGGAAGCATGGTGGAACCTCAACTAATTGGTCCATTCAATGATTGGATTTTTGAATGAGTACCGAGCTGTGTTATAACTTTCAACGTGTCTCTGTCGTGGCCGCCTTTGCTTGCAGTCGAAGGTTAAACAGCCTGTTTCAAGGACGATCATGCCGTCTGTATGTTGAAGCAAAAGGTTGCCACCACCAAAACCAAGCTTCCCGAGTACACGAAATTCTCAACAGCTCTCTTTCGACATTAGAAATGCTAAAGATCAACCAATTTTGGTAATATTAACAAACTTGGGAGATGTTTCTCGTGCATGGTTCTTTTATTCATCACGGGCATACTGACGTATCGCACTTTCTCTTGCTTGGTGCTGCCCTCTAAAACCAGAAACGCCACGCTATACACGAACCAAAACAAATGTCTTGGAATCCCAACACTGCAGTGAGCAGCGAGCTTCAAGCTGGGGTACACTTCTGCATATAGACACCCTACGCTCTTCCGCCATTCCCAACCTTAAATCCCTCCATCACAACACCCCAGGTGCCCTTCTCGCCCGCCGATGCGACCTCGCCCATAGCAATGCGGCGCATCAACAGGGTATCTCTAGCAGTCTTAAGTCTCTTTCCCTCGCCACTTCTCAAGCACTCCTTGAACCACTCTTCTTCGGCAGCATCAAACGGCAAGCTCGCCAACTCCGATGCCCGGTCCGCACTCTCCTCACTACTAGCGCCATCCAATACACTTAGCACCAGTCGCTGAAACAGCTGCTCCCGCGTAGCCTCAGGTCTCGCGCGCGAGAACTGTAATGCCTCGGAGACATTGGATCTGGAAAGTGCATCGAAGAGTAGATCCAGGGCTGTGGGTGACTTCAGAACAGGCTGAACAGTATGCCAATATGCCAGCGGCAATGTGTAATCTCCATCCTTACTCGCGTGTCTGACAAGCACTATGATGATATCGTCTGCGAACTCTGGGAGGAGAGACGGGTGTGCCAGATACTCGAGCGCGAGCGCAAAGGCATGGCGGTCCATGTACCACAGGCCCTTCATGAAGATCTGGTATTTGGCGGGGAGGCCTGAGCGAGACGCGAAGGTGTCAGCTTTGGAGGAGTCATTGCCGGACAGGTCGTCAATATCGAGGAGGAGGTAGTAGAGGACTGAGAGCTTGTGGTGGGTTGCTATGGCGTTTGAGGCGGTGATTTGTTCGTGCAGTTGGCGCAAGTTGTTATCGGATTTGGGCGGGTACATCGTTCTTGCTACTGAGCGGCTCAGCTCAGCTCTTTGACTTGATGATGATACGTTGCAGGTAAAAGTAGCTACCTACCTTTCGAGTGACCCAACGCTGTCAAAACTCGGTCAATGAAGAGGACGCCTTCGAAGCTTCGGCGGTAGGCGTCGGCCTCTTGGATGAAGGTGCGGTTGTACGGGAACGGGTTCAGAGACCCGAAAACGCGATCGAAGTTGCTGTGGTCGATCATACTGGGCCAGTGTCTACCTTGCTGCTACCGCAAACTCACGGCAACAACTGAAGGTGTTAAGGGTGAGAATGGTGTAGCTACTATGACTCGACATGAGAGCTTCATTGGCTCGGGTGATTGAAGCTGCAGCAAACTATCACAGATCACAGGGATGCGCCGGGACTTCTTCGGCTTGGGATCTCCCAGCGCGCGCGTTATGCTTGGTTTGACCGTTTGACGCGCTAAAGAGGGTCGGCAGTGGGGGAAATGTTATTGTTTACTTGGATTCGCTATCACCATGTCGGATAAGGAAAGCAGCAAATGGATTGACATTTACAACTTTCGCATCCATATCTACCTACTAACCCAGCAGCCCAGCGGAAATCACCTTCGAATTAGCTTTGGCTCTCTCTCCACCCTCTCTTGTCTTCTGTTAATAAGTGCCACTCATCATGTCGGGAAGACCCTCCCGTCGCGCTGCTGCGACACGGCGCGCAGCTATCATTGAATCAGACGACGAAGACGAGATCGCAAACACCACGGCTATCAAATACCAAGACGACGATGAGGAAGATTTTGCGCCTGAGCCAGTGGCGGAGAGCCCGCGACGCAAGACTGCTAGCAGACGAAAGACAGCCGGAGCCCCTCTGACACCACGCGCAAGCAAATTGCGAAAGAGCGTTGCGCCGAGCGAGCCAAGCCAGATATTAGATCCCGATCAGTCATCGGCCACAGTAATCCACGAACCAGTGTCGCCTGTGAAAACCCCCTCGCCGAGGAAGAGGAAGAGTGTCGCACCGCGCAAAGCCAACAAGGAGCTTACACCCGCACTGGATATCCCAACTTCGGCTTCAACGGATTCGCTCCCTACACCAAAGCCATCTGCGTCGCCAGAGCCAACATTACATAGTCATGGAACTCCACTTGCTGATATCACCAACCGGAGTCTGAGCGAACCGCGACAGACGGGCGATGAGACCGTCACTCAAATCAAGCCTATCAAGGCCATGGATACCATACTTGAGAAGCCTATGGATATCGTGTTGAAGTCGCGTGCACAGATGACCATGCCTATCGTCGAGGAGCTTGGTCCAAAAGCACGTATCGTCATCACATATCTCATTCTCAACAACTTCAAGAGTTATGCCGGGAGACAGGAGGTTGGTCCGTTTCACGCCTCGTTCTCGTCCGTCGTCGGTCCCAATGGATCCGGCAAGTCGAACGTCATTGACTCCTTACTGTTTGTCTTCGGTTTTCGAGCCAGCAAGATGCGGCAGGGCAAGATCTCGGCTCTGATCCACAACTCAGCTGCCTACCCAGACTTGGATCACTGTGAGGTGGCTGTACACTTCCACGAGGTTATGGATCTTGTACGTGTAACCTTCTAACCACACGTGAGAAGAAAAGAACTGACAATAAGAAGCCTGGCGGTGGATCCGAAGTTATCCCTAATTCCCAGCTCGTCATCTCCCGAAGAGCATTCAAAAACAACTCGAGCAAATACTACATCAACGCCAAGGAATCCAATTTCACTGTCGTCACTACTCTCCTCAAGGATCGTGGCGTCGACCTTGACCATAAGCGTTTCCTGATTCTTCAGGGTGAAGTCGAGTCCATTGCACAGATGAAGCCCAAAGCTGCCAACGAACACGAAGATGGCCTTTTGGAGTATCTCGAGGACATCATTGGTACATCCAAGTACAAGACCCCGATTGAAGAGTCGGCTGCCGAGGTCGAGATGCTCAATGAGGTCTGCATGGAGAAGAGTGGTCGAGTGCAACATGTTGAAAAGGAGAAGAACGGTCTCGAGGACAAGAAGAATAAGGCGCTTGCATACATCCGGGACGAGAACGAGTTGACTCTCAAGCAATCTGCGTTGTACCAACTCTATATCAGTGAATGCAACGACAACTTGGCGGTCACAGAAGAGGCCATCAACCAAATGCAAGCCCAACTTGACGCTGAGCTGGAGAAGCACCAAGGCAGTGAACAGGTCATCAAGCAACTACAGAAGACTTTCAACAAAGGCAGTAAGGAGTATGAGGCACAGGAGAAAGATCATCAGGCCCTTGTCAAGGAAGCTGCCAAGTTCGACCAAGAGAGGGTCAAGTTTGACGAGAAACGCAAGTTCCTGACCGACAAGCGGAAGAAGTTGGAGAAGACTATCGCCAACGCTGAGAAATCGACAACTGAGGCAGATGATACCATCGAGCAATGTACCGAGGAAATCTCAACTCGAGCCGAGGATATCACAGCTCTCGAGCAAAGTGTCCATGAAGAGGAGGCAGAATTAGCCGCCATTCGAGAGAGTTTAAAGGGCAAGACGCAAGTCTTTTCTGACCAGATCGTTGCCAAGCAGAAATCGCTGGAGCCTTGGAAGGAAAAGATCAACCAGAAGCAATCGGCCATTGCTGTCGCTGAGTCAGAGATGACCATTCTCGAAGAGAAGGCCAATGCTGGTGCAGTTGCACTCGAAGAAATGAAGCACAAAGTCGCTAGCATTGATGAGGGCCGTACTGCCAGACTTTCTCAACTCGACGAGTGCCAGGCCGAAAAGGCCCAGCTCGAGAAGGAGGCAGAGGAAGTCGAGGCTGGTCTGGAACAATTCGCCACGAAAGAACACATCATTCGCAACAAGGTGTCCAACGCCAGACAGAAGGCTGACGAAGCCCGATCCAGTCTTTCGCAAACGCAGAATCGAGGCAATGTTCTTACGGCTCTGATGCGTATGAAGGAGTCCGGTCGAATCGATGGTTTCCATGGCCGGCTTGGCAACCTCGGTGCCATCGATCCCAAGTACGATGTCGCTATCTCTACGGCTTGCGGTGCATTAGACAACTTCGTTACTGATACTGTTGAGGCCGGTCAGCAGTGCATCGAATATCTTCGCAAGACTAACCTTGGTAGAGGCAACTTCATGTGTCTTGATAAACTACGTGTTCGCGGTCTTGACCCGATCTCCACCCCAGAGAATGCACCCAGACTCTTTGACCTCGTCAGGGCCAAAGATGACAAATTCCGCCCAGCATTCTACCATGCTCTGCAAGACACGCTAGTTGCTCAGGATCTGGCGCAGGCGAATCGGATTGCGTACGGTGCCAAGAGATGGCGAGTCGTCACTCTGGCCGGTGAGCTTATCGACAAGAGTGGTACCATGTCTGGTGGTGGTAACACCGTCAAGAAGGGCCTGATGTCCAGTAAGCTTACAGCCGACACGTCTAAGGAGCATGTGGCCCAGCTTGAAGAAGATCGTGACGTCCTTGAGCAGAAGTTCCAAAAGTTCCAGGATCAGCAACGTGGACTCGAGACCCGGC